GTGGGGATTATCCAGGTTTTACTTGGGGGGAGGTGCTTAATCTGCTGGGGTGGTTTAGCTCTCCACATATTGGTGCTTTGTGGCTTCCTACCATGGAATTCCCTTGTATCAAGGTGTTATCTTACTTCCACATTTATTCATTCAGAAAATAATGAGCATCTACCAGATACCAGGCATTGTGCTAAATGATGTAGGGATGCAAGGACTAGTCATGGCTCGCACTAGAGTGTGATTCCATGGAGGAGACACTGCTCTAAACCCCTGACATATATTCATTTAATCCTCCCAATAGTCTCATGGTATAGGTACTATGATTATAATCTCCATTTTACAAATAGGAAAGCAAGCACAGAGAGGCCAAGTAACTTGGTCAAGGTTACATAGCTAGTAAGTGGCAGAATTGGGCTTTGAACCAGGCAGTCTGGCTCCAGAGTCAGTGCACTTAATCACTACAAAATACTGAAGTGAATGGGTTGCCTCTTGCCCGGGAGGCAAGGAGGAGCCTAACAAGTGTCGAGCATCTGATGTGTACCTGACCTTCTGCTGGGCATTTTACAGAGCTTATTTCCTTCAGTCCTCCCAACAAGGCTGTGAGGTAAGGGTTATACCTATTTTACAGACAAAAACACTGAGGCTCAGAGAGGTGAAGCAATTTGTCTAAGAGTGTGCTGCCTGTTAGAGATACCAAGGGTTGCCTGGGTATAGGTGGGTGGGGGAATCCACACACCTGAGCTGAGTGAATAAAACATATGATATTCAGAGCATATAATTAATATTGAATTAAATTGAAATTAAAATGAAACGAAAATTCAGAAGAAAGGAAGGTGGGGTGAGGCCTGAAGATGTAGGGTGATGAGGGAGAGTTCACTGGGGCTGGGCTTTCACTTGCCCTCATTCCTAGAAGAAGGGCTTAGAGTGGGCAACAGGCTTCCACAGGCCCGTTTGCTGAGTTGATGCTTTCTCAGGCCCCATGATCTCCAACTCATCACCAGCCCGGCTGTCCCACGAACCCTGGATTTAGCCACGCTACTCCTATTTCTCCCTCCTGAACACACCACACTCATTTCAGCTCTAGGCCTTTGCTCAGGCCATATGATTCTCCTGCCGTCCAGTCTTTCTTCCTCGGCCTGTCATGGTTGTCCTTCAAGAATCTGCTTTCTCCCAGAAGCCTTTCCTCACTCATTGACCCCTCCTCAAGCTCCTACGGCTCTTGATCTCTAGCCCTACGCTGAGCACACAATGCCTTGGGCTGCGCTGGGCCTTCCATTGCCTTCCCTTCCCCTTCCAACTGGCCTTCCCTACACCCCGACTGCTTAGTGTTCCCCAACTCATCAACAGACTGTCACGTGCCTCCATGCAGCTGGTGTGGGCTATTCCCTCTTGATGTGCTCCCACCCCAACTATCTGTTCTTTTCCTATTTGACCTTTGAAACCCCACTAGGACATCACCTCCCCCAGGAAGCTCTTAGAAAGCACCCCTACCCTTTGGAGTTGACTGTTCATCATCTCTTGCACAGACTTCTGGTATTGCCTTGAGCACATTGTATTTTCTCCCACACTGTATTGGGACTTGATGAAGAACAGACTTGCATCTTATTCACTTTTGTATTTCAGCCTGGAACAAATGGTAGTTTAACCAAAGTGAAATATTTGTGTAAGTGTGTGACTCCATGGAGAAGGACAACTTCTTCTCTAAGACTTCTGAGCTTGAGCATCACCTCCTCTGTGAAGCTCTCCTGACTTCCCCAGGGTGGGGCTAGAAGCACCATGTAATCATTTGTTAATAGGCCTGACTCCTTGGCAGTCACCTCACAGTGCCCAGTGCAGGGCCTGACACCCAAGAAGCCTCAACAAATGTTTGTTGGTAAAAGAACAAATGCACTTAGGTGACTATAAGCTCCTCAAGGGCTGGGATGGCCATGTGCTTTTGTCTTTGTATGTCCTTGGTGTCCACCACAGAGCCTTGAAAATGCCAGAGTCTCTATAATATATATTTGGTAAATTGCTGACTGCAGGTGTATGGTTCCAAGGCACCTTGGGGCCACAGGGGAAGAGGCAAGGAGAATTCCAAGTTCTGGGGCATTTCTGGCCAAGCATACACGTGATCCTGAGGCTTGGGGTATTGGGTATTGGCTGGGTTTCCGTCAAAGCCTACATTGCCCCTCTGAGAATTGCTGAGGCCCATCCTCTGTCAGCACTGACTCCCTCTGGATGGGCTCTGGTCCACCCTTTACCCCCTCTGGCCTAGCCTCTAGAGGAAGGCCCCAACCATCTACTCTCCACCAATATGCCCACTGCTTCCCCAGGCAGGATTGGGGCTGGGCCTCAATTTCACCAATTTGCCTGGGACACTGATGATCTGGGCACCATGCTGGGTGCTGGGTAGGCAGATGAAACAGCCAAAACCAGCCCCCTTGGAGGCAATACTTCCGGTTGGTCCTGGTACCAGGCCCACTGGGTGTGTGGCCTGAGCTCACTCTTCAGCCTACCTACCCACACCTTGCCTACTTCTGATGAACTCTTCCATTTCCTCCAAGTTCCCAGGTACAGATGTCTCGTTCCTTCTCGGTCCTTCCTTCTCCCTCCCCCCACCATCCCTTGGGGCTTCAAGGTTGTTCCTCTATCTCCCTGCCTCTTCATCCTCTCTCACTGTCCCTCTAGGCCTGTGGCCCTTCCATGTCCTCGTGTCCCCTTCCCTGCTTCTGGCCTCCATGTGCCCAGCACACACATGGCCCCACTGCTATATTTTTAGCCGCCGCTCTCGACCACGTAATTCGCCTCTTGTTTCAACACAGCCCTAGCCTGAGCTGAGTTGGGGAGTCCTAGCTGGCACTACCCCACCCTTGGGGGCGTTGAGGAGATGAGCACTCAGGCTCTCACCCCCTACCCCTCCCCAGCGTCAGGGACTGAAACACCCAGTAGCTGGGTACGGGACAGAAACCCAGGCAGGAGGATGATGCCTGCTTCTCCTGAAATCCTGGGGGCCAGAGCTGGTGTTGCTAGGCAAAAATGTCCTGAGCCCAGGGCAGAATGGAGGGTGTGTTCTCTACCAGGGTGGTTAGATTTTAGGGGTGGGGGCTGGGGAGGAAGGAAAAGGAGGTTGGTGAGGTGCTGACTGAGAAGAGGAATTAGGTCATGATGTGGGTGGGTGGGCAAGAGGGGAGGGTGGCATCTGCCACCGGAACTTCCTCCTGGCTCCAAAAGCATCTCCAGGCTTCCCTTCCTCTTCCCCCTTTCCCCAGGTCCTGAGAGAATTCTCCCCGGTATTCCCCCTCCCCCCATGCCCCGCCCCTGGTGTTGCCACAAGGGTTGGGGGTGGGGTAGGGGGAGGCCAGCCTCAGCTGTCTGAAGGATGGAGGGGCTGGGGAAGTAGGGCTAGGTGCCCAGACGGCCGCGTGTGTGGGAGGGGATGTCCTCAGATGCCCTCCACCCGGCAGTCCCCGCTCTGACGTGGGTGCCCCCCCTCTCCCCGCCCGGATTAGTGGCAGCTTGGCCTGACTCTCCGGGGCTCCTTCCCCCACCCCCGCCTGCTGCCTTCCCCTGGGCAGGGGGCTGCTCCACCCGAGGGGCACTGTGCTAGCCCAGGTAAGGGGCTCTGGGGATGGTGTGAGAGCAGCTGGCTCGTGAGTGCTGCTGTGCTTGTCAGCATGAGTGTGTGTATCAGTGTGTGTGTCAGTGCGTGAGGGCTTGGTGTGGGTCCGGGGCTGGCCCACACGTATCTGGGGGTGCTGGTCAGCTTGCCTTTGTCCATGAGTCTAGCACGGTGTCTGTGCTTTGTGTGGCTTTCCTTCTGTATGTGAGTCTTTTGTGAGTCTCCTCAACTCTGCTCTGTCCTCAGCCACAGAAGAGCCGGCTACAATGACTCTATGGGCCTGTGGCATGGGCTCTGGGGACAGGATGGGGAGCTGGGGGAGGGTGGAGAGGGGATCCGTGCCTCCTGCTTCCCCCCACGAACCCTTGGGCATTTCAGGAGCCTGTCATGAGAGCCCTGGTCGAGCCCAGGGACGGTGACCTGACAAAGCAAACATGGCAACTGGGGGTGGGGTGGAGGAAGGCGACTGTCCTGCTCCCCTGGGACAGTCCCCATCCCTTTTGGGGATGACAGTGACAGGCCCTCAGGACTCCCACCCTACCCTGCCCTTCAGCCTCTTCCAGGCCCCAAGCCACAGGACTCTGCCACAAGCTGCCGGCTGCTGAGGAGGGAGGCCAGAGGACACAAATGGGGGACCACAGGCGCACTCCAGTCAACCATCTTCACCCCTAAAGCCAGTCTGGGAGCGAGTGGGAGGCTGGGGTTGGGAGCCTTGGGATTCTCACTTGCTTTAGACCCTCTACAATCATTTCCCCCTGGCACACTGAGGTCCAGGCTACCCCTCAGGGAAACTAGGGGAGGAAGGGAGTTTTAATAACTCAGTCATGTAAACAACCCCTACCAGCCTGCCCTGCCACAGAACTGGCCTCTGGGGGGAGCAGAAGGGGATCAACGAATCTATGCCAACATAGCCCCAGTCCTGCCCAGTGCCAGCCCCTTCAGATCCCCTGTCCTTGGGACGCTTCTTCCTCTCCTCAACTGGTGAAAGGCTCCTTGCCTTCCCTCCAGCCTCTGGGGAGGAAGGCTCCCTGACTCTTCATGGCTCCCGTCTCCGGGTTGGTGGTATGACTTGAGACCAGGCTGGAGGCATTTGAGTACTCATTCCTCTCCTTAGAGTAGCTTGGGGACAAGAACCCGGACAGTGCCTCTGTCCAAGGCTGTGTGAAGGCATGCTGAGGATGGCTTCCACAGAGAGGACGGGGGAGTCAAGGGGTGGGAAGTGGGTGCCTGAAGGGAAGGAAAGCGCCTGTTGGGCGTGTGGGTTTCTGTGTGTGTCTGAATCTGTCTGTGTGTGTTTGAATCTGTCTGTTTGTGTCTGTGCTCTGGAACCACCCCCACAGAGGAGCCAGGATGCTTCCTCGGGTGGAGGGTGCCCTGCTTTCCCATTTCCTCTCCTACTTTCTGCTCCCTCCCAGGAGCCACTCCCATGGGCTGCTCTCCAGTGCTGGGCCTGGAAGCACTAGGAACGCTAGGGATGGGGCAGACCCCCAGAACTCAGGGACGGCAGTGGGTCAGGGAGCTCATCTGGTCCCACCACCTCGCTTGACACTTGGTGAAACCCAAGCCCTTAGAGCAGGAGCTGGCTAGAGACTAGGCCCTCCCAGAACTGCTAACGTAGGACACTTTCTGTCATTGGACCCCAGGAGGGGGCTTGGGTGGGGGATAATGAAGAGTGGCTTGGCCAGGTGAGGAGGAGGCAGGACAGACACAGGCCACCGGGGTGTGCCCACGTGCCAGCACTGGAGAAGATTAGGAGCGAGTGGTCCAGCAGGCACAGGGCCCGGCTGGTGTGGGTCAGGGTGCCCATCACTGACCCGTGAGAACCCGACTGTCCCTTCCACCTCTGGCACTGCACCCTCCCAGCCGGCCCCGCCCTACCACCCCAGGGGGCACCCCTCCCCACCGTGGCCTGGTCCAGCCCCTCCCGCCCTTTGCTCCAGTTCCCGGGCTTGGCACCTATAGTGGGGGTGCTGCCCGCCTGCCAGGCTCCGGGGCCGGGCCCACGGGAGGGTGGGGCGGCTGGGAAGCTGGCACGCTGCCACGGGGGAGCCTCTCTCGGCAGGCGCCCGGGTGCCGCGGGGGGGAGGGGGGAACAAAGGGCTCATTCTCCCCCTGCGCAGCCGGTGGCATCGCCGGGGCGTTGGCGGAAGCCCCCGGGGCCCGGGAGGGGGCAGGCCCAGGCGGGGCCGCCGAATCACGGACTCCTGTTTCCCGCAGGGTGCTGGAGGAGGAAACCGGCGGAGCAGCTTCCCCACTCCTCAGTTGCGCGTCTGGCGATGGCGATCAGAGGTCCTGCTGCGCTCTCTGCCGCGCTCTTTGCCGAGCTCTCCCTCCATTAGCCGCGCTGCGCTGTGCTGCGCCCTCGCTGGTGCCTCTCTCCTGGGTCTTGGGATCGGGCCTCCCTCCCAGGCGCGACCCCCTTCCCCTGCCCCTCGGCCTTTCCCCCAACTCTGCCATCTCCGATCCGGGGCGCGCGTTCCCCCCGGCCCGGCTCCCTCTCTCCCTCAGGGGGCACCCGCTCCCTAGCCCCGGCCCGGCACTCCCCGCGGCGCAGCACGGAGTCTCGGCGTCCCATGGCGCAACCCACGGCCTCGGCCCAGAAGCTGGTGCGGCCGATCCGCGCCGTGTGCCGCATCCTGCAGATCCCGGAGTCCGATCCCTCCAACCTGCGTTCCTAGAGTACCCCCGCCGACCCGGGGGAAAGAGAGAGCTGAGCGGAGAAAGCGGGGGAACGCGCCTTCGCCAGCCGGCCGGTAGGTCCCGGAGCCGGCCCATGGGGAGCCAGCGCCCGGCGCCGGCCAGGACGCCTGTCACCGCCCTCGCTGCGCCCGGCCGGTGAAGCCCAGGTAAGCACCGAGAGGGGGCGCCAGGGGAGCGCCTTCTGGGGAGACTTGAAGAGGGGATTTCTGAGAGTCGAGCCCGCGCCGCACACGGGGTGAGTTCCCCGCGCCTCTCTGGGCTGGGCCACACATCTGAAAGTTAGGATGCCCTACCGGGCTGGACAGCGTCAGAGCGGTGGCCCCAGAAAACCCAGGCGCCCTCTGCCAAGGCACCCTCCCCTTTCTCCTCGGGCTTCGCCAGGCTGGCCGAGGGGGCTGCGCGGTGAGAGCGCTGCCGCTCTGGTGCCACCTGTCATCCTGGTCTCCTGCTCGCACGTTCAATTTTCCCTCTCTTGCCTCTCTCTGCGGCCCAGCCCGCTTTCCCCGCCTCCTTCCCTCCTCCCGGCCAGGCTGCAGTTAGCAGTGGCGGCTGGTTGCCTTGGCACTGCCGCCTAGGCTAGGGCAGCTTGACCCATTCCAACTGAGGCCTCTTAATCCCCCTCTCCTGGGCTGGCTCACTCCTTCCCCTGGGGGCAGGGTTGGAGATCTCAGCCCCTAGCAGTTGCCCTGGGCTTCTGCTTCAGAAGCCAAGAAACTGTAGAGCACTGTGAGGAGGTGGACTAGGGGCTGCCCCGGTGTAGGAAGACACCAGCCAACACTGGCTGGGAACCCTCCGCAGTGACTGCCATCTGCCCAGCCTGCACTTCCCACCCCTTCAAACCTGGGTGGGGCTGGGGGCTGGGGGTGGGCAAGCAATGCCACCAGAACCACAGAATGCAGTGTAGGAAGAGCCCTCTGTCAATTTCCAAGCTCCGTTTGTTACAAGGGGACACTGAGAGAAGAGTGTCATGACTTGCCCAAAGTCACACAGCTGGTAACTGAGTCAGAGCCAGGATCCAGCCAGCTTATCTCCCAGAGCAGTGCCTTTCCACTGAGCTCACCCTTTGGGTTCTTGCTCCCTGTCTTTTCCCATGGCTTGAGACCAGCTTTCCGTTTCGGTTAGGACAGGATATATCACCCTAGAAATGGCGGCCTTTGCTGAGGGGCTCAGTTCCAGGTGGACTGCCAAGTCTGAGAAATTTGGGGGGAGAGGTAACTTTCCCACCCTGCTCAGCACTGGAGCACCCCACCAGGCGGGGTCCTTTGAACCACATGTGGGTAGGCAGCATGGTGCCCACCTGTGGGTTGGCACGTGCCGTACTGGTTTGAGCTGCCTTGGTACTGCCAGGGTGGTGCCCACTCGGGGCTAGGTGGTAGAGTGCTCGGGGCATGTGCCCAAGGAGCTCATGCTTTGGTGGTTATGCTCCAGGGACCCCTCTGGGAGAGCCCCATGAGGGCAGGAGAGTGATGGAGAGTACACCCAGCTTCCTGAAGGACACTCCAGCTTGGCAGAAGACAGCCTCTGAGAATGGCACCGTGGGACAGGAGCTGGGTACTCTGCCACAGGATGGCCTGCGCCGTGGGGCGCTGTGCCCGGAAGAGCCTGTTCCCTTCTGGAGGGGTGTCCTGAGCACTCCAGACTCCTGGCTTCCTCCTGGTTTTCCTCAGGGTCCCAAGGACGCACCCCCACTGGTGGAGGGCAAGGGCCCTCAAAACGGGGAGAGGAAGGCCAGCTGGCTGGGCAGCAAGGAGGGGCTGTGTTGGAAGGAAGCGATGCTTGCCCATCCACTGGCTTTCTGTGGGCCAGCATGCCCACCTCGCTATGGCCCCCTGATTCCTGAGCATAGTGGTGGCCATCCCAAGAGTGACCCTGGAGCCTTCCGGCCCTTGCACTGCCCCTTCCTTTTGGAGACCAAGATCCTGGAGCGAACTCCTTTCTGGGTGCCCACCTGCTTACCACCTTACCTAGTGTCTGGTCTGCCCCCAGAGCATCCATGTGACTGGCCCCTGGCCCCATACCCTTGGGTGTACTCAGAGGGCCAGCCCAAAGTGCCCTCTGCCTTCAGCCTACGCAGCAAGGTGAGTGCTAGAACAGAGTGCGTACCTAGGGCTCAAGCCATGCAAGGGAACTCAGTGGCCCTGGAGCAGCCATGCCAGGACAGCACCACTCTGTGCTTCGATTCGGATGAAAAGATAAGGCAGCACCCAAGTAGAACCCTGGTCAAATGGGGCCTGTCAGCTCAGAACTGTCCTAGGCCCCAAAGTCAACCCCAAGCAATTCCTACTCTGATCAACTCCATCTCACTAAGCTTCCAGGGAATTGACTCACCCTTGTCCCCCCAGCACAAAGCCCTAGGAATGGGGCCTTAGAAAGTGTGGCCTTGTGCTGGGGTGCTGGGGGTAGGCAAGACCCCTGGGGATATGCAGGCAGCACCATGGCCTGTGTCTAGGGACCTCTCCCATAGGTGACCCCTACTTCCAGGGATGAGATTTTAAAATATTTAAAAACCGGTATAGTACAGGGCATCAAACAATCAGAATAGATCCTGGAGGCCCTTTGGCTGTGCCACACATTAACCCTTTGGCTGCTGGATTATGAGGAGGCCTGAGAATTCCTGGGGAAGCAATCTGGGGGTAGCCAGGGCAGTGGTAGAGGCACTCAGGGGACCCAGTATGTGAATTTTGTACTTTCACAACCCTTAAGGCCACACAGGTGCACACCTGCTGTGTGTCAGTTTTGCCCGTCCTTTTAAGCACTGGGAACCAAAGCCAGCACTAGCTTAAACCTTTTCTTCTCCCTTTAGGGCGTTTACCACAAGGATCCGAGCATTCTCAGGCTGGCAAAGGAGCCATTGGCATCTGCAGAAGCTGGGTTGTTGGGTTTAGCCTCTGGTGGGCACCTCCAGAGAGCCGGGGAGGTAGAACGCACTTTGCTCCATCAGAGAGATGGAGAGAGAGGAGCTAGCAAGTATCGGAATCTCTGCCCAGTTTTCCTGGGGCATCCAGACACTGCTCCCCAGACTCCCTGGCCCGCATGTCCCCCAGGCCTGGTTCACACTTTTGGAAACATCTGGGCTGTACCAGGGAGTGGGAACCAGCTGGAACCAACAGCCACATCAAGGTGCCCCTCTCCTGGGCCTCCTACCACTCAGGTGGGCTGTTGCTCATCTCACCCACCTGAGAGAGATGGGAGTCTTGGCCCTTGTGGGAAGTGCCAAGAGGGCCTAGAGGGGAGCACCAGTGGGACAAATGAATCCAGTGATGAAGTGAACAAACCCCCTGGTCCCAGGGCCTGCCTGCCCAGCCACCATACCAAGCTGAAGAAGACATGGCTCACACGACACTCTGAGCAGTTTGGGTGCCCAGGTGGCTGCCCTGGGGACGAGGAGAGCCCAGCTGGCCAGCTCCGGGCCCTCAAGAGGGCAGGCAGCCCTGAGGTCCAGGGAGCAGTGGGCAGCCCAGTCCCCAAGCGCCCACCTGACCCTTTCCCAGGCAGCTCGGGGCAGGGGGCCAGAGGTTGGCAGGAGGTGCTGAACTCATCAGTAGGGAACAAGGTGGAGGCAGAACAGCATGATGACCAGAGAGGTAAGAGGGCAGGTGAGGGGTTACAGGGGGCCCTTCTTGGGAAGGGGCAGCCAGTGCTGGGGTTTGCAAGGGCGGTGGGAGTCAGTAGGTCTTTTATGAGTAGATCAAACCCAGTTGTCAGGTCGCCCATCTGGATGGTGATGGTGCTCTGGGAATTCCTCAGCATCTACAGGCCAGCAGCCTTCCAGCAAGTGGCTTCTACCTTCACATGTCTCCTCCCAAGCCATGGTGTGTTGGTGGCAGTGTAAAGACATGGTTAAAAGCATGGGCTCTGGAGTCAGTTTGTCTGGTTTTTGACTTTGCTGACTGCTAGCTGCGTGACCTTGAGCAAATTACTTCACCTCTCCGAGCCTCAGTTTCTTTATCTATGCAATGGGAATAAAGATGGTACCTACCTTATAAAGACTGCTGCAAAGATTAAATGACAAAATTCACATAAAGGGCTTGGACTAATTCTTTGAACTTATTAAACATTGATAAATGTTAGCTGTTACAATTATTGAAGGAGCCTTGATGGCGCAGTGGTTAAGCGCTTGGCTGCTAACTGAAAAGTCAGTGGTTCAAACCCACCAACGGCACCAAGGGAGGAAGATACGGCAGTCTGCTTTGGTAAAGATTTACAGCCTTGGAAACCCTGTGGGGCAGTTCTACTCTATCCTATAGGGACGCTATGAGTCAGGATCGACATGATGGCAACATTTATTTATTTTTCAGTTATGATTATTTGGGCCACAGTTCCCTGTCTGGAGAATTCCTTCTCCTGCCTCTCCTCAAGGACTCCTCCTGCCTCAGGAATGGCTACTCTCTTGGCCAGTTGGAGCCTAAAACCTCCTTTTGGACTCTGCCAGTGTTAGGGCTTTGGGCACATCCTGGACCCCTCTGCCATGTTGTGCCCTTCGTGGAGCTTTCTGGCATGGCTGGCCTGAATTTTTTGGGATGACCTCAATTTCTCAGCCTTTTGGACTGCTGGACCTGGATCCGGACTCTCGATGGCCTTGCCCAAGTATCCCTGCACCTGGTGCGGGTCTGTCCACGCCCTCCCAGACCTCTCTGCCTGGGCTGGGAAGTTGTTGGCCCCTTCGCCTTCTTGAGTTACTGCACCTGTGGCCTGTGTTGAAACTCTGCAGCCTTCTCACCTTCCAGCGCCCTCTGTTCACGTTGGGATTATCTCCTTACACTGTTACGCAGCCAACGATATCACTAAGCCCACAGTAGAGCTATCCAAACTCTACACTGGCTGGATCCTCTTCTTGTGGCAGGATGATTGCCGTAACTGCCCCCAGCCTCGGGCCCAGCACACCAGACCCCATCTCCTTGACCCTTTAGTCCATAGTAGAGCATTCTCAGGCTTCCTGCCCAGCCTTTTTTTTTTTTTTTTTTTAACCTTCTAGGTGCCTGGTCCACTCTCATTAGTTCTGAATCTAGCTTTATAGGCCTGTGGCTCGGTACTGGGCATGCTCTGTGTGTGGAGAGGGTGGGGGCTAAGGCAGGGGCTGGGCTGGCAAAAGTGCAGGAGGCCCAACCTCCTGACCAGCTGCATTGTCCCCTCAGGACCCCGAGATGGCAGGGCCAGCCTCCAGGACAAGGGGCTTCAGGATGTACCTTGCCCAGCCCACCCGGCAGGCATCTCTCAATGCCAAGGCTGTGCTCAGGCAGCTGGAGAGGTGGGAGGGCTGGCCTGCCACTCCCAGCACACACAGAGGTGAGCCCTTGGCCCCTGGATGGTCCAGCATCCTCCCCCAAGGCTCCCTTCTCACCTCCCTCTGCCTTGTCTCCAGATTGCCTCTGGGAGGGGAGCAGCAGCCAGAGGAGGACTCAGCAGCCAGCTCCAAGGAGGAAGCAGGGTCTGGCCTGGAGGCCCAGCTCAGGATGGGCCTCGCCAAGCACCTGCTAAGTGGTTTGGGGGACCGACTGTGCCGCCTCCTGCGGAGGGAGCGGGAGGCCCTGGCCTGGGCACAACGGGAAGGTGAGCAGGACCCACAGGGCGTTCGGGACCCCAAGAGATCCTAGTCATATGTGCTTTCACAAGGACCATGGGACCTGCAGAGTGGGGGACCCTCTCTGTTACTCCTCTTCTCCCCATACCAATGCTGCCATTTCCTATTCCTGCCCACAGCTCAGAAGCGCTCCTGCCCTACTTTACCTTTATTTCCGACTTGTGTGCTTAGTCAGCATGTCTTATGAGGTTTCTGGCCTGGGTAGGGATGTTGGGAAGGAGTAAAACCTGGTCCAGCCCAGGTCTCTAAGAGCTTTTGGCCTTGTTGGGAAAACAAAACTGAATGCCAAGTGTCTGCAAGAGCACCTAGAGATGGGGGGCTCACGAGGGTTTGAGTAGCTAAGGAAGGTGGGGGTGGTGAGGTACACTGGTCCTGGGAGGCTCGTAGACGTGGGGCTGATGGTAGAGGCTGGTAGGGCAGCAGACAGTCAGATGGTTCTGACTACCTCCCTTTCAGGACATCTCGGTCCTGTCCCTTCCTGGATGGAGGGTCACTGGTGACTCCCTCTTGCCCCAGAAAGGCCAGCCCTCTCGCTTTCATCAGCAGGCCCCTCTTCTTCTCCTGCCACTCCCTCACGCGCACCCCGGATTTCAGGCACACCACATTTCCATCCTTCCTGGATCACACAAGCTTGTCATACCCTCAGAACTTGGCACTTGTCAATCCCTCTTTCTGGAATTGCCTTCTCCTCCCTCTCTGCTGGGTGAATGACACACTTACTCATCCTTTGGGGCCCACTTGTGAAGCCTCCCCCATCGTTCCAGCCCTCAGCCTTCCATCGTGTTTTCATACCCTAGCACCACCACCTGGTGCCCTAATCATTGGCATGTAAGCTCTGGGAAGGCAAGGACCAAGTCTTCAAAGGCTCTGAATCTCCAATACCCAGCACAGGACACAGCAAGCAATAGGTGTTTATTGAAAGAATAAGTGAATGTATGGTCAGTGGCATGTTTTCCACCAACCAACGAGGACTTAGTCTGAAACTTTGCTCTTAAAAATATCCTTTCCTTTGGGTGAGGGAAAGAGTGGTCTCCTAAGGTTTCCTCTTCTAGTATACAAAGTCCCTTGGAGGACACCCCACCTGAACAGTTACCACACATTTCCACTTTTTGGTAGCACACAGGGCTTGGGAGGGAGAGAGGTGGATGAAGAATGTGTTAGAAGTGGTATGGATTCAGCGCCAATGGAGAGATCCCTGGGGAAGGACTGCGGGTGGGACTGCAATGGGAGAGCTTAGGCCTCCACTGTCCCTGGAAAGAATTTGCCAGAGAGGATTGTACTGCAGTGAGGTTCTTGAAAGGGGCTGTGGGATAAGTAAGGGGTATTTGTCAAGGAGCCTGTCTGCCCTCTTCCTTGGGTGGCCCCTCAGTGGAAACTGCTCCCTGCTTCTCCACACCCCTGCCTGGGTCCTCAGAAAGGGCCCATTTGCTGAGCCCTCTGACCCGGTTCTCTCCTGTGTTTACCAGGCCAGGGGGCAGCCACTACAGAGGATGACCCAGGTATTCTGCGCAGCTGCAGCCGTTGCCAACATGGACTCTTCAACACCCACTGGAGATGCCCCCACTGCAGCCGTCGGCTGTGTGTTGCCTGTGGTCGCATGGTGGGCGCTGGGAGGGGCAGGGAGAAAGCAGGTAGGAAAAGAGCTGGAGGCCCAGGGGTGGTGGGGCAGAGATGGAAGTCTCAGTTGAGCTGTTCTAAAGTCTGTGGCCATTTCTTGGCTGCTTCTCCCCAAGAAGGTCTCCCCACCAGCTCCCAGCCCCAGGCTCAGCCACTGTGGCTTAATGCCCCTTAGAGCAGACCTTTCCCTCTCCCGAGATCAAAGGGCCAAGCCTGTGTCCTTGCTTACACTTACAAGAAGCCGAACACTTACTAGATGCCTCCCACTTTACTCAACTTTCACGTTTTTAAACCTTACAACACCGTGAGGTGGGTATTATTGCCTCCATTTTACAGATTAAAAAAGCTCAGGTTAAGTGACTTGGCCAAGGTCACACAGCTAATACGTGTTGCAGCCAGGATTTGGAGTCAGGTCTTCTGATTTTGTCTTGTTCTTTCTACAGTTCGTATTTTCTCTCCCTCAGTTTGAGGACTTTAAATTTCCCAATGTTCCTGTTATAATAGACATGGCCAAAAAGAGTTCCAGGGTCAAATCAGTTTCAGAACGCTCTATTCTATATGGCTACCTTGGAGTCTTACAATGCATAGCAATATATTAAAGGCTCTGCATTCTTTAAGCAAAGAAGCCTATTTCACTGTTTAACCTGTTTCCCCAAAAGTCTATGTTTTGCAGGTTTTTAAGCACCCTGATTTAGATATCATGTCCTTGACCTACTTCTCTGAACTTCATCTTGGTTACCTTGATTTCCTGACCTGCAGCTTCTCCCTTCCCACCACACAGGCTCTCAGGAGCAGTCCACAGAGGGGTGTGCCCAGGAGGCTGGGCACAGTGCCTGCTCCTTGATGCTGACCCAGTTTGTCTCTAGCCAGGGTGAGCTATCTTGGAGGGGTGTGGAGTGCAGTGGGCAGTTCCTGAGGGAGACCAGCTTCCTGTCTGCATGTCCTTCACCCTGGTCCTATTCCCTCCTGGTTGGTAAGGCAAAACCGCACAGGGGCAGCTCCTGGTCCCCGCTTACCACCAAACTCCATCTCTCCTCCCTACCCCACAGCTTTGGCAGAACTGAGCACTGCGATGCACCAGGTCTGGGTCAAGTTTGACATTCGGGGGCACTGCACCTGCCAAGCTGATGCCCGGGTGTGGGCCCCTGGAGATGGGGTCCAGCAGGTAAGAATCAAGGCAAGAGATAGGTGATGGAGGCATAGCTCGTGGGCCTCAGGATTGGGTGGTGTTCTGCAAATTACTGACTTGGTGGGGATTTGGTGCTTTTCTTTTTTTAAATAATATTTTATTGCGTTTTCGGTGAAGGTTTACACAGTAGTTTTGGTTCCCATTCAACAATTTCTACACAAGTTGTCCAGAGACATTGGTTACATTCGTCACCATGTGTGAACATTCTTATGGTCTCCATTCTGGTTGTTCTGTTTGGTGCTTTTCTTTTGATGGGGATGGAGAGGGATCTGAAAGCTGGGTGAAGTCAGGTCACTTCCCCACCTTCCCCTGAAGATTAGGATCCACAGACTGGAGTTCTAGCATTTGCCCTGCCTCCCTCTTTACCCAGCACAATTTCTCTCTCCCAGTCTGCCCAGAGACTATGTCACTTGGTGCATATTCTAGCTTAGCACTTGCCATATCACCGTAGAGCTGCTGGTGGGCATGTGCCAGAACATGGGCTCCTTTTGGCCCACCTTCACAGTATTCCCTGCACCTAGCACATAATGGGTGTTCAATATGTAGTTTTGAAAGTTTTCATGAAATAAATTTTTTGTTATAAAACTTGTTCATTCAAGAAATATTTTATCGAATGCATTTGATATGCCCTATCCTGCTCCACATACTCGTGGAAAATTTGGAAAATACAGACAAGTATAAGGAAGAAAAATAACAAGACCTATCATGCTACCATTAACATCTTGGTACTTTCCCAGTCATTTGTCTATGTGTCTATTCACATCTATTTTTAGCATAAAAGAGCCCTAGTGGCGCAGTGGTTAAGCGCTCAGCTGCGAACCTAAAGGTCACCAGTTTGAACCCACCAGCTCCCCCATGGGAGAAAGATATGGCAGCCTGCTTCCTTTAAGATTACAGCCTTGGAAACCCTCTTGGGCAGTTCTACTCTGTCCTCTCGGGTTGCTGTGAGTCCGAATTGACTTGACAGCAATAGGTTTATGTTAGCATGTTTTAAACCATACTGTGTTTAGAATTCCCTAAGCAACTTTTTTGCACCTAACATTATATCATATAACAGTTTGCTCTTTGTAAACATAATTTTAGGACTGTACAAGAGTCGATTGTTACTGCTTGTCAGTTGAATTGAATTTAGTTGCATTTGCCATTTTTAAAACTCTGGTTGAATCGGGGGGTGGTGGATGGGTTTACCAGAAGGAGCCAACAGAGAAAACTCCCCCAACTCCACAACCTGCCTGTAATGGGGATACCAACAGGACCAAGGACATCAAAGAGGGTGAGCAGCTCCCGTTGTGCCCTTGGACTGTGGAGGAGGGAGGGTGGGCCAGAGTTTGAGGCAGGAGGGAATAGGCGGTGGCAGGTCCCAGGAGGTCCCACCCGCACCCCCAATAACCTCTATCACTCCTCTCAAGTCATTCTAGACACTAAAAAAAAAAAAAAATCTAAACGAAATGTAAGACAAGCCCAGCCAACAACCCAGCCCCAAGGCTTTCTTCTGGATCTTCCATTCTGAGCCCAACCAGAATACAAGTTCTGAGACCTCCTTTCTAGAGATTCTGGAGCTGCCATCAGGGAGTATGTTGGTGGGAGGGAGTGTATCCAGAGCAGAGTGAGATGGGCAAATGCCAGTGTGGAGAGAGCAGGTCTGGCCAGGAAATGAGGGGAGAGCATAGTGGGCAGTGGAGACTCAAGAGAAAAGTGAGGGGCCATATGTAAAGCCCCTCACCATTTTCCTCTCCAACAGAGATCCCAGACTCCACAGAGACCCTGGCAGAGGACCGTGCAGGCCGAGGGCCCCTGCCTTGTCCCTCTCTCTGCGAACTGCTGGCCTCCACTGCTGTCAAACTCTGCTTGGGTCATGATCGGATACACATGGCCTTTGCCCCTGTCACTCCGGCCCTGCCCAGTGTGAGCAAGAGCATGAAGGGAGGACTGGGAGCTTGGGGACCGAAGGCTGGGCCGGCTCTCCATGTTGGCTTGGGCAAGTCCTGAGCCCTCCCACCCCTCCATCCCTTCCTCCCCTCAGGATGACCGTATCACCAACATCCTGGACAGCATCATTGCACAAGTAGTGGAGAGGAAGATCCAGGAGAAAGCCCTGGGGCCAGGGCTGCGGGCTGGGCCAGGCCTGCGCAAGGGCCTGGGCCTGCCCCTCTCGCCAGTACGGCCCAGGCTGCCTCCCTCTGGGGCTTTGCTGTGGCTTCAGGAGCCCAGGCCTCGGCGCGGCTTCTACCTCTTCCAGGAGCACTGGAGGCAGGGCCAGGTGAGGCTCCCTGCCTCTCCCCTCCCTCTCGCTGCTTGGCCTACCCTTCAGGGCCTTGGTTGCTGGACCCAGAAAGACCCAGTTGCTGAGAGAGAGCAGCAGGGCCTGGTCCCCATGCTGTTCTGGTTCCCTCTATAACACACCCCAGCCTGGCCATGGTGGGCACCCCTCTCCATCCTCCATTCTGTGCCTCCTTACTTTCTCCACCCTCTGTCACAGCCCGTGTTGGTGTCAGGGATTCAGAGGACATTGCAAGGCAACCTTTGGGGAATGGAAGCTCTTGGGGCACTTGGAGGACAAGTGCAGGCGCTGACACCCCTCGGATCTCCCCAGCCCACAAGCCTGGGCAGCACAACATTCTGGGAGGGATTCTTCCGGCCTGAGAGTAAGTATCCCTGAGATGAGCTAGAGGGAGCTGGGAGCCCGAGCCGTAGGGTAGCAGCCAAGACCCACCCAGAGTGACCCTGGCAGTGGCTGGAAGCAAGACCCAGGGCAAAAAGTGGACTCATTTGTTGCTACCACTGAGGCAGGGGCCTCTGGGGCAAGGAGGTTCCTCCCTGGGCCAATGGCCATTCTGTCTTTTCCCTCAGTTCGCCCAAAGTCAGATGAGGGATCTATCCTCCTGTTACACAGAGCTCTGGGGGAGGAGGACGCCAGCAGGTGTGTATGGTACCATGGGCTAGCCCTGCCTCCCCAGCTACTGCTTGCCCTTTTGTCCATCCCTTTTCCTCCTCCTTCGTACCCCCTCCTCTGACACTCAGCTCTCCTGTGCTTATGCACTGAGGTTACCCCAGTGTTGGGGGGTGCTTTGATGGGGTGTCTGGTGCCTGAGTTGGTCTGCTGGGTATGACCCTCTCCCCCCATAGGGTGGAGAACCTGGCTGCCAGCCTGCCACTCCCAGAGTACTGTGCCCGCCATGGGAAACTCAACCTGGCTTCCTACCTCCCGCCGGGCCCTGCCCTGCGTCCACTGGAGCCCCAGATCTGGGCAGCCTATGGTGAGTGCTGGGCACCAAGTCCACTCCACTCCTGCCCAGTCCCTACCCCCATGCCCTGTCGTTGCTAGGCCTATGTGTGTCTGTGCCAAGGCCCTGGAGCCTGAAGTACTTCCCTTATTTCATTCCCCAACTATCCTTTCTCTACCTCCCTATAGGTGTGAGCCCAGACCGTGGACATCTGGGGACCAAGAACCTATCTGTGGAGGTGACTGACCTGGTCAGTATCCTGGTACATGCTGAAGCACCACTGCCGGCCTGGCACCGGGCACAGAAAGGTGGGTAATTGGCTGGAGACAAGAGTGGGGACAAACTGCAGAAGCAGGCACGGTGTCTCTGCCCTCCCTGGTCATGCTTTCTCCCTCAGACTTCCTCTCAGGCCTGGATGGGGAGGGGCTCTGGTCTCCAGGCAGCCAGGTCAGCATCGTGTGGCACGTGTTCCGAGCACAGGACACCCAACGCATCCGCCGCTTTCTCCAGATGGTGAGGAGGGAGCTGGGGAGCTGGGGAACCCTCCTCTCCCCCTGCCCTGCCCCCACACTCTTTGGGTGGAGCTCCCAGACTAAGAAGCTCTTCCTGTCTGCCCAAGTGCTCCCATATACACATGTGCTGCCCAAAGCCGGGCTCACTCCCTACCTCGTTCCCTTAGGTGAGCTGGACAGACCCCATTCAGACAGGCAGGTGCAGAGAAGGCAGGCTGGGACCCAGTTATGTAGTGGAGTTCAGAAGAGGGGAAGGTTGAGGCAGGAGAGTCTGGACCTAATGATGCAATGGAAGCAATGCTGTTACTTCTTGCATGCCTACCACATGCTAGGCATTGTGCCAAGGGCCTTCGGTACCTTATCTCATTTAATTGTCACAGTCACCCCCTGAGGCGAGTACTGCTAACCCCACTTTGCGGATGAGAAAACAGGCTCAGTGCTGGAGCTGAGATCTGAGCCTATGTCTGTTCCAACCCCAAGGTCACTATATTGTGCTCCTCCTTGCGGGGGGCAGCCTCCCCTTCATGAGCCTGGGAGGCAACTGGAAAAAAGTTAAAGGGAGTCTGTCTGTGATGCCATCCTGCCATGCCCCCTTTCCATCATCTACGTCTTATGAGGACAGACTTCCTGGCAGAGGGGCTCTCTGGGGTACAAGCAAGTAAGGGGGCATGGTAGGTGGAGGTAGAGACTGGGCCAGCATAAGGGGCCAGGGAAGGAGAAGATGATGGGGTGGGGGGTGGGCAGAGCAGGCAGGAGGAAGGAAACTCCAGAAGGGCAGGGGAGATGGGAGGCCGGTATTAAGGTTAGGGCAAGTCCAGTAGTTCCAAAGTCCAGCTGAACCCTCATTATGCTGGGGAAAGAATTTCTACCAAGTGTCCATCCCTGCTAAGGCACACAGACACACACACCATGGTTGTCCAATACCACCCTCCTGCCCACAGGCACACACATCTACAGGCACATCTAGAGACACACACATCAATAGATGCGTGCACAGATGTTAGAACTTGCAGAGGGGAGCAGACAGAAGCATAGCTTCGTAAACAGATGGCCTAATCTAGTTTGGGTGTGACTGGCTGTGGTCTTAGGTGGCCCTGGGAAATCCTGTATAGCTAGACCAGGATGACTCATGGAAAAGGTCGGAGTGCTCATTCTCATATGGATGGGCCTAGGGAACACTGCTCCAGGCCCAGGATGGACTCGACCTTTCAGGGGCAAAGGAATCTTGGTACCTGGCTGGGGCTGCCCTGGGATCCAGCCTGATTCACAAGCCAGTTTCTCCTCCATGGCCCACTCTTTTAGCCCTAAGCCCAGGAACAATGGCTGAGGTCCTAGCTGAATGAGGCTGGTGGCCAGTTGGAGCATGTTGCTGCCATTCATCTCTGCAGGTGTTCATGGAGCACTTCCTTCTTTGGCCTCCACCAGTCCCTGCCTGCCTAAGGAGCTCTCAGTTCTGGTTGGGCTTGTGAAGGCCCCTCATACCTTTGCCCGCTCCACGGGCACACCTGTTCCCCCACCAGGAATTAGAACTCCTGTGTGGCCTTGCCTTTATTGGATCGAGATCTTAGAAGAAGCTGATGAATGCTCTGAATTGTCTCACCAGGGATATGTAGCTCCCTACTTACCAAAGATTAACACACGATTCAGGTAGTTCACAAGGACTGCAAGTTAAGAACTCCTGGTGTAGACGTTTATGAGCTGGGATTACTCAGGATGTCTTCCTGGGTTTTGGAGAAAGAAGTACCACTGAGAGAAGGAGCAGAGGGGTCAGGGCCAGGGATACAGAGACTATTAAAAGTATCTTAAACAAACAGAAACAGTTGCCATCTAGGCGATTCCAACTCCTGGCAACCCCGTGGGTGGCCGAGTAGAACTGTGTACCATAAGGTTTTCAATGGCTGAATTTTTTTTTTTTTTTTAAAGTAAATCACTAGGCCTTTTTTCCAAGTCACCCTTGGGTGAACTTAAACCTCCAACCTTTCGTTTAGCCACCAAGTGCGTTAACCATTTGCACCACCCAGGAAGGGACTCCATTAAAGGCATCTAGTCCCAAGAAAAGCAGGGATTTAGACCCTTCAGGCTCAGAAGCCGCAATCCTTTCCTCTAAGCTCCTAGCCAAAGCTCTGTTCCTGAGCTGCCCCAGCCCCTTTCTCTCCCACCCCTCTGTTCTCCCCGGCCTACCTTTCAAGACTTGAGACACATGAGCTGTTTTCTACGCGCCCTTCCTCTGGGAAGTTCATGTCCAGGTCCTCCTGCAGCCCTGCTCATTCAACCTTCTCTTCTAGGTGTGCCCTACTGGGGCAGGCACCCTGGAACCCGGCATCCCGGGCAGCTGCTACCTGGATGCAGGGCTGCGGCGGCGCCTGCGGGAGGAGTGGGGTGTGAGCTGCTGGACCCTGCTGCAGGCCCCTGGAGAGGCAGTGCTTGTGCCTGCAGGGGCTCCCCACCAGGTGCTTCCCCAGTGGGTCAGGGGCTTGTGGAGAGATCACAACAGCAGATGCAACAAGAATAGGCATTACCTTTACATGGCATTCTCCGGCCCCGTGATATCCTTGGCCCTCTCAACACTCAGAGAGCTGGGGAGAGGGAGCAGGAATGCATGTCCCCATTGTAGAGAAGTGGAAACAGAGAAGCTGAGTGTGTTCTGGACACCAGTGAGCCAAACTGGGATTCCACCGAGAGATCTGAGCCTCGTCCTGGCCCCCTCAGCATGCTCAGGTGCTTTGTGTCCTTGCATGCCACTCTGCCTGTGCCTTTGCTGGCATCTTCTTAATCTAGTTTTGGCCAAGCCCTCTGGGGTGCCTGATGCTGTATCTAGGGCCTCTGCTCTCTGAGAGCTGGGTGGGGGTTATTATAGGAATTAGACCTCAGGGTACCAGCTGGTAGAGAGAGGATCTGTGATCCTGAGCCTCTGCTGACCCTCATGCCATGTCCTCCCTGGCACAGGTGCAGGGCCTGGTCAGTGCAATCAGTGTCACTCAGCACTTCCTGTCCCCTGAGACGTCGGCTCTCTCTGCTCAGCTGTGCCACCAGGGACCCAGCCTGTCCCCTGACCACCGCCTGCTTTATGCCCAGGTGAGAGACACACTGGCCAGGAGGCGGATGGGCTGCCCAAACCCTCCCCTGCCAGGGTCTGCCTTTCAGGGGCCCAGCTGGGGTGCACATAGCAGATCCAGCTCTGTGCCACGAAGGAAGGACATTCTTTCTGAGTGGGAAGGGGGAGGGACCCACACCCCAGGGCCAGGGCCAGGCCCAGAAATGTGACTGAACGCTCGTTGTCCTCTCTCTTTCTCCTAGATGGACTGGGCCGTGTTCCAAGCAGTGAAGGTGGCTGTGGGAACATTACAAGAGGCTAAATAGGGGGATCCCAGGTGTCTGGGGACAGGGGTGAGGAACAGGTAGACCAGGTGCTCAGCCAGGCACAGCTTCAGCAGAGAGAGATGCTCGGGGATTTGGAGACTTTTGGTCAATCCCATAGGCACCACTCTGGGTACAAACAGAACACCCCATTCCATGCCCCTGCCTTAGGCACTAAAGCCAACAACCACAGTGCCACTAAAGCTCCCACCCGCCCTTCATGATGCTGGCACCTGCTTTGCCCCCGTGTCCCTCTTCATGATACCGGGCCCACAATGGGGATTATTGGCTCCCTCCAACCCCCACCCCCCAACCCAGGAGAAAAAAAGCCCTTCCTTGGGGGACCTTGGGAATCATTCTGGCTTTACCAACACCTCCTTCCTCTGCCTCATCACCTCCTGCCCCCACCTGTGCCCTGAGCTCTGCTAATACCACCCTCATTCTCACTGGGCTCCCAGTCAGCCCTTTGCACTGCAGGCATTGCTGGACGAGGGGCCTTTGAAATCTGCCTTCTTGCCAGGGAGCTGTGAAGTATAGGGAAGGGATGGGATCAGGGGACTGCCCAGGCTTGGCTAGAGGGAGTGATTTGGGCGATGCCACCCTGCCCGTGCTCCCTCCCTCCGTCCTCACTCCTTCGAGATTTCCATTAAAGTCTGTTGTTTTGTGAATGCTGCCAGTGTGGTTGGCACTGCTCATGCAGGTCATGTGGTCTGTGGAGGGAGGGGAGTCTTGGAAATTTGCTCTGGAGCAGGGGCAAATGGAGTGGGATGGGCGGGGGGCTGGGGCTGGGGTAACAGGGACCTCCAACACCTCTGCCTGGTCTTCTCCTGGGGGCCTGGGTCCCTGACTCCCACTGAGGAGAAGATGGAGCCTTCTGTGTGGCTGCCCCCCAAAGATGGCTCCTGACAGACACAGCAGTGAGGCAGAGCCCTGGGGCACAACAGCACTACTTCCCTGTGCAGCAATGGCCTGCAGGGACCCTGGAGCTGCAACCCTGCCTCCAGACCCCAGGCCGTCCACCTCCTGTCTGACTTGACGTGGAGATCCAGGCGTGTGGCCCAGGGGAGCCCTTGCCCAGCGGGTCAGCCCTGGGTGCTCAGACAGCTGACTGCGCCCCACTCCCCTCTAGTGTGACTCTGCCCCTCTACCCCTTCCCTTGTATATCTCAGCCCCATATATGCTCCAACTGTTGTTATACCTAATTGTTTCTGCGGTGGTTTGAGGAATTTTTTTATTAAATAAAGTTTTTTATTTTACATGTTAATATACTTTCAGAAAAATTAAGAAAATAAGAAAAAGCCACCTGTTAACCCATCCCTACCCACTCCAAACTGAACCACTATGAGGATTTTGGTGGATTTCCTTCTAGTATTTTCCGCAAGGCTGAATTGGTGTGTTTTGTACTTGGTTTCATTCTTTTAACATATTATAGTCATTTTCTATGTTGCTGCCAAACCTTCATTTGAAATAGCTGCTGCTTATATTCCATCAAGTGGTTTTACTGTGATTTATGTAACCATCCCTCTTTTTTTTTTTTTAATTTAGATTTCTTCATTGTTCAGAAAGTTAGATTATTTTTTTCATAGGATAAAAAAATATTTAGAGAAGTTCTACACTTTACCAGGTACTGCACTACTATGTTCATTTAAATTATCTCATTTAATCCCTTAGCAATATTTTGAGGTAGATATTATTTATTTCCATTTTACAGAAGAGGAAACAGGTAGATTAGGGTTAAGACAGTTACCCAAGGTCACACAGCAATTTTAGTGGCAGAACTGGGATTTGAACCAAGTTTTCTGACTCAAGCCACCTTATTTACATTATAGTTTGAGCTCTTACTGGAGTTTAAAGATGTGCTTGCCCTCTTCTCTGTCCTCCTCCTTCCAACATTAAACACTTTGTCTGCTTGTGTTCCAAGTAGCCCTGAATGACCCAGCCCCACTTACATTTCACCATATACAGCCATGTCCTGATGTCACCCCAGAACCCAAAATACGAGGTCATTGCTGTGGAAAGATGGTGCTGTGAACTTTTTCCATTAGGGATGGGGATCACTGAGTCATGGGGCCTTTCCTCCTCACACAGACCTCCCCCAATCTGCATCATGCCCCTACCCCCATCATGGTGACCCACCCTTGAGTCATATGTGGTCTGACTGCTTGTAAACAGCAAGTGGATCAGTGTTCATTTGTTCCTGGACTGGCCCTGGGAATGAAGCCAGTCCAGGTGGGCACTGACCCTGAGACTCGGCCTGTGGGTGCTCGGTAGTATTGTTCCTCATAGAGGCTTGGCTGCTTGACCCCAGTCCAGACCTGCCCTTTGGGCCTCTGCTTCTCACAGGCCTTTCCCAGCATCCCCATTGTTGATCTTCTGTTTTCAACCACCCTCATTGGCCAGATTTCAAATGTACAGCCCTCAGAGCTGGACATGAGCTCGAAGCACATATATCCACCCATATCCGATGCCTTCTTTTTCTTTTTTCTTATAAATTGTTTAGACTTTTTATTTTGAAATAATTTTAGATTTACAGAAGAGTTGTAAGATACAATAGAAAGTTTCCAATTACCCTTCACTCATCTTATACGACCATGGTACATTTATCAAAACTAAGAAATCAACAATGATACAACATTGTTAACAAAGCAACAGACTTTATTGGGATTTCCCCAGCTTTCCCACTTATGTCCTTTTCCTGTTCCAGGATCCAACAATGCCTTCTTTTCACAGATGGCCTAGAGGATAGATGTGGTTCTTCCAAGGTCACTCAACAAGCTAGTGGCAGAACCCAGCCTGAGCCAGATCTCCATGAGATGGCTTGGGCTGTGGCCTTCCTCACCTTTCACACTTTGTTAAAAGACAAGATTTGCTACTCTGTACATGCTTCTAGTGTCACAGACACACTTGCCCCACCCTTGTCCCTGATGCTGCCTATCATAGGCCTTTCCGCACGTGCTCACACGCACATGCGTGTATGCACCTTGAAATGACTAGCCCAGACTTCTCTCCCATGAGTGCTGGGAGCGTGGCACTGTACCCAGTCAGGCCGTTCTCGTTTGCTGTACTGTATTCCTTGGGTGGCAACCCACACCAGTCAGTTTTCTTCCCTTTCTGGGAATGGCGGACACAGACCTAAGTTAACAGAGACCTTTCTTTGTTCCTGGTTTTAGAGAACCATCCTCACTGGCTGGGTCTCTTTTGGTACCTCAGTGTCTTTCTATATCAGCTCCTCTCCCTGAGCTTTCCCCTCTGTCTCAGTGTCTCTCTTGTCTCTCAGTCTGACTGTGTGCTCTCTTCCTCCCAATGCTTTGAGAAGAGTCTTTGCTGTCTCCCTCAGCACTTGGGAAGGGCTGAACAGTCCCTCCCGCGTGTGCAGCCCTTCATGGTTTACAAGGGGTTTTTGCACATTCCATTGCCTCATGTAATCCTCACCACAGGGGTGATTAGGCCCACTTGATAGAGGAGGAACGCTTTTCCTCGCCGATAATGGGGAGAGTGGAGCCGCGGTTTGCTGTAGTTTTCGCTCTTCCAGGCAGTTAGGCCATCTGGCGTTTATCTTAGGCTGCCTTTGAGGCTCTTGGAGCCTTACCCAGATATGACCTCACTCTCTCTCAAATCATCCCTGGGAGGCAGGAAGGAGTCTGGGACCAATGCTGTCCCCACTTCACAGATGGGAAAACTGAGGGACAAACACACACACATACACACACACACACACACACACACACACACACACAGAAGTAAGTTGATAGGTTGCTCTGCAGTCCTGGGGGCCTGGCTCTCAGTCCTGTAAGTTCAGTTGTCTGGGAGGAAAGGAGGTCTTGGACAGGGCTAGGGGCAGCATTCTCCAAGGGTCTCAACAGGCCACAAGCCCACCGGGGATGCCCTGCGGCTGAATACAGGGCCCTACCTCCAGGGAACTTGCAGTCAGTGTCAGTACGTGTGAGAAGGCCTAAGGAGGCGGACATAGTGTGGCCGCAGTTCCTGAGAATAGTTTCGTGCTATGGTGGCCCTGTAGGCACATTTCATGAGGCTGCGCCTTTTTTCATAGCAAGTCATGTGACCAGGAGGGCTCAGCCTGGAGGGTTGGTAGGCTGCCTGATGATGGTACCTCCCTCTGCCCAGCACTGGACAGTCCACAGAGTAACTCCCACAACATCTCGCCTCACCTCCCCAACAACCCTGTGAAGAGTTTTTATGATTCTGTCTATTCTACAGATGAGGTAACTGAGGCCCATAACTTACCCAAGTGCACAGAGCAAGCCAGGAGCAGTGGCCCGACTTTCTAGCTTCAAGTTCAATGCTTTATCCATCTCACCACAGGCACTCTCTCGAACAAAGGGAAGGACACAAAGCCACCAGGAGGGAAAAGAGTAAAGGGGAGGCCTAAATGGAAGTTAGGAGCCCAGACTTGGCTTGCTTCATAGTTTCATTCCAGTTGGCCCAGCCTTCCTGTCCTGCCAGGAGGTTAAAGGAAGCTCTGAGGAGGAAAGGTCAGCCTGGGAGAGAAGCAGAGCTCACCAAAACAATCCACACCCTGTTCTCAATGTGCCAAGCCCTGTGTATTCCTGGGAAGAAACAAAGAGGAAGGAGCATGACTCGGTACACTGATGAGGCCTGGCCGGCTGATTCCAGGCCCTCTCTCAGCCCATCCCCCCAACCTGCAGCCCTGCCCCACCTTGGCCATCCCAGAGGTGACCTCTTCCTTCTCACAGCGCCTGTCACACCTCCTGCCCACACCACTCATTTAGTACTTAGCTTCTAACCCTCAGATCTCTTTTTATGTATATGTCCATCTCCCCAACTAGAATCTCCTACGCAGGGGCTTAGGTTTCCCTTGCCATGTGACATTGAAAGAAGAAAGTCATTTGGAAAGTGATCCTCTGGGGCAAAGCCGTAGCTTGTTTATGACAAAAGTTCGAAAGTGGATCTAAGCTGCGTTCCAGAACCCCGTGACATCACTGGGCTCACTGTTACGTCATCGTCGCTAGCCACTGCAGCGTCTCCGCACCCGGCAGGCAGGATGACGTCACCGTCAGCACCAGTGCAGACAAGTGCGCACTAAAGGGATGAGCGAAGTCGGCGGCGGGAGAAGTCCTGAAAGACGAGGCTAAAGCGGACGCCGAAGCCCCGCAGGCGGCAGCCCTGCCCCGGCGGGTCACCCAGCGCTCCCGGCTGGCTCCGCCCGCTCCGTGCCCTGCGCGGGCCAGCCAACCGAGGCCGGCCGCGGTGACGCGCAGCCTATCAGTGGCGAGGGCTCACCGGCCCTTCCGCGTTCGCGAGCGCGCAGGGGCCGAGACCGCAGCGGGGGCGGGGTAGAGAGAGGCGGTCCATACGCTCTCCCCGCGTCGCAGTGCATCTGGCTGGTGCGCGCTGTCAGCGCCCGCCACCTCCCAGGGGACCCGATGGCCTCGGAAGGCCTGGCGGGGGCGCTGGCGGACGTGCTGGGGGGCGGGGGACCACGCGTGCAGAGCTGCGACTCGGTGCCGGCCGAGGAACTGGTGGTCCCGGTGCGGCTGCGGAGGAACGTCTGCTACGTCGTGCTGGCCGTGTTCCTCAACGAGCAGGTGAGTGGCCGCGGCCGACCGCCAGCCCCACCACCGGGCCTCTGGAGCACGCAGGCGGCCCAGGTGGGGACAGAACCACCGCTCACTTATGTGGCATTTTCCAGTTTTGCAAAGCACTTTCACCTACACTTTCATTTGAGCCTGGTGGGGTCCAGGACTGCTGTCATCTCAATATACAGAGGAGGAAACTGAGGCCCAGGAGCTTTGGAATTCTTGTCCCTAGTTTATCACGTAGGTCCCAGTTCCTTGAGGGGAGGGCTGTCTCACTCCACTTCCTTTCCCAGGAGTCCAGCACAGCGCCCGGTCCGTAGTGGGCTCTGTTGAAGATCAGAGACCTCCCGCGGGCCCCACGGATAGTGATAGCGGAAACACATTTACACTAAGGCCTTCTGACTCCTCTCTGATGCTCTTTTTGGTGCTGATTCCTGTAAAAATTGCTGTAAGAACAGCTAGAAGGGGCCAGGACCATAGGGTTGTATAGGGTTGAGGAAGGGTGTGATTCAAAATGTATTCATTAGGGTAAGGACTAGTCATAAGCAAGTTTGTCAACCATGTGGGGAGGCTAGAGACAGTGACAAATACAGACATGATTAAGTTCAGGACTCACCATGACTCTCACTCTGGGGCCACACCCCCAGCCCCTGAGGCAGCGCCCAGGAATATCAGCCCCTTTCTCAACAGGAGTCTTCCTGAATCTAAAACCAAAAACCAAACCTGTTGTGGTCAAGTCGATTCCGACTCATAATCACCCTATAGGAGAGGGTGAAATTGCCCCATAGGGTTTCCAAGGAGCTGCTGTTGAATTTGAACTGCCGACCTTTTGGTTAGCAGCTGAGCTCTTAACCACTGAGCTACCAGGGCTCCTTCTGAATCTAAAGAGGGACAAATTATAGAGAGGAGACAACTGCGGCCCCTTAGGCACACAAGGGCTCCTTGATCGCTCTACCATTTGAAAGTGGCCATCAGAAAGGGGCAGTTCCTGGGTGGTGCAAATGGTTAACGTGCTCAGAAGGTTACAGGTTTGAGTCCACCCAGAGGTACCTCGGGAGAAAGGCCTGGTGATCTGCTTCAGAAAATCAGCCCTTGAAAACGCTGTGGAGCCCAGTTCTGTACGCTGATACATAAGCGATCGCCCTGAGTTGGAGTTGACTCAGTGGCAACTGGGTGTCAGGAAGGGCACGGTTGGGCAGAATGTACGTGAGATGTGATCAGGTCCCACGGCAAGGGAAGGCTTGGGGTTGTGCCGCTCCTCTGTGGGCTTCTCAGTGCTGGAGCTCCCACACCAGCTGTGTTGCGGGGTGAGGATCCTCTCTCTTCCGTCAGGATGAGGTGCTACTGATCCAGGAGGCCAAGCGAGAGTGCCGCGGGTCCTGGTACTTACCCGCAGGGAGAATGGAGCCCGGAGAGACCATCGTGGAGGCACTGAAGCGCGAGGTGAAGGAGGAGGCTGGGCTGCAGTGTGAGCCTCTGACGCTGCTGTCTGTGGAGGAACGGGGCCCCTCCTGGGTCCGCTTTGTGTTCCTTGCTCGCCCCACAGGTATGTCCCGCCTGGTGGCATGTGAGCAGGGAGCAATTGACCCCTTTTCACCCAGCTTGTCTTCAGATGAGATGAACCCCTCCACAGCCAGCCCTATTCTGGCTGGTACGAGCCCGGCATTATCAGATTCCAGCCTGAGAACTCTGGGCCTCCTCCCTGGGTCGGGGCTAGAGTGCCTGTGTGTCTGTTTTACTCTGCTGGACCTGGCACTTCTCTTTTGCCCATCCTGTCTCCCAAATCCCCTTAGGTGGAATTCTCAAGACTTCCAAGGATGCAGATGCGGAGTCCCTACAGGCTGGCTGGTACCCACGAACCTCCCTGCCCACTCCATTGCGAGCCCATGACATTTTGTACCTGGTAGAGCTAGCTGCCCAGTATTGCCAGCAAGCTAGTCACCCTTTAATTCTACCCCAAGAGCTCCCCTGCAGCCTGGTCTGCCAACGGCTCGTGGCCACCTTTACCAGCATCCAGACGGTGTGGGTGTTGGTGGGCACCACGGGGATGCCTCACTTGCCCATCACTGCCTGTGGCTTCACCCCTATGGAGCAGAGGGGCGGCATGAAGATGGCCATCCTGCGGCTGTTACAGGAGTGTCTGACCCTGCACCATTTGGCAGTGGAAACCAAGGGGTTGCTTGGACTGCAGCATCTGGGCAAAGACCACACAGATGGCATCTGCCTGAATGTGCTGGTGACAGTGGCTTTCCGGGACCAAGGTATCCAAAATGAGCCCCCAAAGATTCGGGGCGAGAACTTCTTTTGGTGGAAGGTAGTAGAGAAAGACCTACAAAGCCAGCTCTTACAGAGGCTTCAGGAATCATCTGTCATCCCAGTCAACAGATAGGAAGGGGCAGGGAGCAGGCAAGAAGCTGGGCCTCTGTGCTCTCCTCCACCATGGCTTCATCTCTCCTCTGAGGGAAGCAGGAAGTTGGAGATCAGGGATCTTGTTGCATTGGGAGCAGGGGCAGTTTTCCTGATTCTCAGGGGATTTCCATCTCTCCTTGGTTACGGAGCAGGTCCTGCATCACACCCACCAAGAGGGACAGTGCCTTTAACCAAGCAAGGAGTCCAGAGCTTGAGGACTCCATTGCCCTGAGGGCAAACTGAAGCTACTCCATAAGGGGCTGTGGGAACTCTCTGGACCGAGATGATAGATAGTCATCATTTCCTGTGCCCACCTCCAGAAATGCCTACATCTGTGTCCTTTCAGGCACTTAGAATATGGAATGGGCATGTGGGGAGCAGGCCCCTTGCTGAAGTAAATAAGTGTTACTTAACCTTGCCTTCCCTGCCTAAATGTCTCTGTGGGGAGGAAGTGAAGGGCCACCCCGGCCTTTCCTGGACAGCAGACAGCGTATTGACACTGGAGGGGCCAGCCTGCTGGAGGGGTGGGTGGCTGGGGTAGCTGGGCTTCCTGCTCTCCACTGCAGCAAGCTTTAGGCATAAGCGACCCCACTGCAGCGCTTTTCATCTCGCTGGAGGGATGTGACTGTGAGGGGACCACATCCCTATTAAAATGTAACTCTAACCCCTTCCAGGTTTGATGGGTGAGAAAGCCAGGAGAAGCTTCAGGTGGGAGCAGAGTCAGAAATGCTGCCCCTACCTCTGCTCTCTCCCTGAGTCTCTGTCTCAGATTCCACCCGCTATTACTCTGGCAGCCCCAGGCCTGGACCTCTGCCTTTCTGCAACCTTCCTGCAAGTCAGACCAAAACCCTTTCTCCGTTTCCCCTTAGCCCCAGCTGAATCATAGTAGGATTTTTTTTTTTTTTTTAAGAACTTTACTAAAATTTAAGGGAAAGCCAAAGGAAACGAACAAAGAAATGATGTACAGGTTTTTGATTCTACGCAGGGAAACACTCGAATGGACTTCCCTTCTCCCAAGGTAACTACACTCTACCCTGAAGGACCAGGATAACCTCAAAGGCCACTTCCCCAGCTCCCCTCCCTGCCTTTCTTGGCTGGAGGCCTCCAGCTGCTGCCATCTTATCTTTCTGGCCTCTGGAGCTGTTGTAGGGATCCTCCATGTCCTCTCTGAGGACAAACATCTTCCAAAAGATGGAACCAAACGCTTTTTTCCTGGTCCACTCCTCTCAGTGTCCCCTCTAAGGGACCCACCAGGCCATGTCCACTTAAGATAATAACATTTGCTCTCATAATTTAGCCTAGTAGCTTTCAACCCTGGGTGCAAATCAGAAGAGCTTTTTACAACAACTCTGGGCCCCACCCCCAGAGTTACTGATTTAACTGGGGGAGGGAGGGGCCTGGGCATTTGTATTTTAAAAAGCAACCCAGGAGATTCTGATATGCACCACACCAAGTTGAGAGCCATTAATCACCCCCTTCTCCAAGTTGTCAGCTTTGTCCTACCCTGAAGCACTTGGTGAGCCCCTCAGAGGGTTTCTTCCCTTCCCCCTCCAACACACACACATTCAGGGGCATTTTAAAAATGTCTAGCCCACTGTTTAAGACCAAAACAGTCATACAGTACACAACATAAACATAAGAACTACATACAGCTGTTAACAGACGGTTCATTCCCTCGTGGTGTCTGTCTCTAAGGCTAGCAGGCTCTTAGTTGTAGGTGAGCTGAGCAGAAATCCTGTTGCTCGGCCAAGAGTGTCTGATTCCTGGCAGGAGCTGAGGAACATCAGATTGGCACTGCCAGAGCCTGTCTCTGTTTACCACCCCACTGCACCCCCCTCCCCCGAGACAGTGACGGAAAAGGAATTTAATTTGTCTTCCTGAGGGAGAAAGGGGTCTGAATTAGCAGTGGATCTCTGGGTAGAAGGACACAAAGGAAGAAGAACAGAGCCACTGTGTCCACGCAACCACACCGTTTATTGCTGTGCTGTCTCAGGGAAGATGCCATGCAAATACCAAAGTGCACTGAGAGTGGAGGGCCCGTGACGCCCAGACCCTTGAACATTTTCTGAATCTAACAGAGTCTGGACAGAGTTCATCCACTGAGTTCTGCTTTCCTGTCCCATACCGACACCAACATGTGCGCATGCACGTGCACACACATGCACGGCATTCTCCGTAGCAGCAGCTAAGTCCTCCCCGGCTTGGAGGAATGCGGAGAGGTAGAGGTCATTGAGTTTCCTCCTCTTTCATGTCACCTCTTGGCAACCTGTGCCCTGCTTCTAGAAGCAACATGGGCAGGAAAAGGAAGCGAAAAGGGGCTCCTGGCCTGCTCCTCCTTGCCCAGGAGCAAAGCCAGCAGCTGCAGTCCTGCTGTGAGGTAATGCTTGGCGCCGCCTGTGTGTTCCTGCAGGTCGAGACAGATTCAGAGCGGGTGGGGTGGCAGCCCCAGCCGTGGAGGGCACGCAGGGAGAACATCAGAACTGCCTGCCTGTGCCTCGGCCCCTCCCGCCAGGTCTTGGGGGCCTCCAGTCAAGTGGGATACTGGTCTCACATGCCCCCCCAAGAAGGGCATTCTGTCAATACTGGGGGCTGGGTAGAATGCTAAGGGCAAGGTCTGGTCTCTGAGCCTCTGTGCCCAGGTGTTGTCGACCTGCTGAGACCAGTTCAGAAGGTGCCAGAGAGAAACCAGCTGGAGCTGCAGCCTGGCGCCCAGCCCCCCAGCTCCCCAGGCCCTCTCCCGCCCTGGCTGCAGTTGCGTCAAGGTTCTCGTTAGCAGCTGCCCCCACCTGGGCGCGGAGCATGCTTCGGGCATTTGCCATGAGGTGGTTGGGAATTTTGCAATCATGTCCAGGGGGGCAGAGCAGGCAGAAGGGGCTTCCCCTGCTCTCTCCTTCACTGTCCCTTCCCCATGGGTCCAACCAAGAAGGCAGGAAAAAAAATGCCAAGTGTCGGCAGCTCCTGTGGTACCTGATGTGACAAAGACAGGGCCCCTACGCCCTGTCTCTGGCCTAGGTTCCTGAGCAGCCTCTGAAGCCATCTGCTCACTCCCTCTCTTGTCTCTGGAATTAAGTCACAGGTCTTGGCCCTGGCCAGAAGGGTGATAGGTGCAGAAAACATGAAATCCGGCATCCAGGTGCTCACCTGGCCATCACCCAGCTCCTCCAAGAAGGCCCTGAGGACACCATGATGCCTGGGAAGCCATCTCTTTAGCTCCTGTGGCATCTGGTGCCTCTGAGGGCCACTCCCTGAAACCCAGTCTGGTCTGGTCAACAAGCCAAAGTCTCCTTAGTTAACCTGGGAGCTGAAGCCCAGGCCTCGGCAGAGGCAGAGGTCCCTGGGATGCAGAGGAGGTGAGCCCAGCCCCCACCTCTTGGGAGGAGAGTGGTGGCAGGAATGCCAGGCAGGAGGCAGCTCTTGGGCAGTGGTGTGGACAGGAGTCTCCCCACCCGTCATCCTCCTGACTCAGACAGGCCCTTACGGGGGTGGGGAGAGGTTCAAGTGAGGACCATGTGGGGGAAACTTAACAAAAGCAATGGCAGCCAGCTCCTTGCAGAATTCCTCAAGTACTACCACACCTTGAAGGAGGGTCTGATGGTCCAGCCTGGAGGGAGACAGCATGGGCGTTATGGCTGAGGAGGTGGGTGTGTACCCAGAGTGACATCCCAATGTCCATATGGCATAACCAGAGGTGGAAGACAGAGCTGGCAATAGGCTCTCATATGCTTTCCGTGTTTGGCACCTCCCCCAACCTACAGCACTCCACCTTCTACCCGCAAGGCATTTCCTTGGGCACCCACTTCCCTTGGATACTTACTGTTCCCCAGGGACCTGACCCATTAGCTGCTTTCGCACCAGGAGCAGTTTGCCTGGGAACTGGGGTACCCTCTGAATTCTCTGCATCAAGTCTCCAATCACCTAGAGTGGGACCAAGGAAAGACTGAGATGGGGGAACCAGGCTGCTGAGGCCTCTCTCAGGGTGCCAGGTGCCAGTGACACTCCAGCAGGGCCCCTGGCTCTGCCGTGTCATGGGTGGGTGGCTGGGGTGGGTGGGTGTGGGTGTGTGTCTGTATATATGTGTGTGTGTGTGTGTGTGTATATATATATATATCTATATATATCTATATATATATATATCTGGGCTTTCCCCTAGCAGGGCAAGGGTGCCCACTCCTCCAGCCCCCAACTACCCTGTCCTAGACACCTTCAGTGAAGTCTGTCTTTCAATTATTCCCCTTTCTTCCTACCCCCCCGTCCACTGGGCCCAGGCAGCCTTACCCTGACAAGCACAGAGAACAGGCTCCTACAGCCAGGGGCCAGGTTGATGTAGGGATCCAGGAGGTACTCATGGATATGGGGGTGAGGGAAGAGGGCGAGCCGGGACAGGACTGAGGTCACTTGCAGGTTCAGGCTGTATGGCTGTAGGGAACACGGTGGACAAAGCTGAGGGCTGGCAGGGGTGGTAAGCATTTTTCACTGCCCCAGCAAGGCACCTGGCCAGTGTGAACATGTGCGGGGGTGGGAGGCTCACGTGATGTATGTGTCATGGATTCCCTGGGGCTGAGGGCCACAACATGTTAGGACGTGTGGAGCAGAGGCAAGATGGGGCTTCCCATCTGGGGAAAGTTGGGGTGGGGGATGAGGGGATGTTGTGAAGCCCAAGACCTGAAGAGTAGTTGACCCCAACGAGCAGCCCCTCTCCTGAGGTACTTCAGAGGGCACGGGCCTGGAGTTCTCCTGTGGGCCCTTGCCTTGTTGCTGGGGCCCAGTCCTCTTGGCTACCTGATCCAAAATCCGGGACATCCGGTCAAAGAGCACTTGGAAGAAGTGACCCTCAAAGAAAGGCCTTTCGGGCTCATGGGGATCCAGGGGTGTGGGGCCCAGGGGCCAGCCCCAGGGGGCAACTCGGGCGCTGCACTCCTGGAACTGAAACAGGAGAGGGGGAGAGGTGAGGAACTGGGCACAGTGGTCAGGAGGGGCCAGCAGACCAAGGGACACCACCCAGGAAGGACGGGCTCAGAGCTTTTGGCCAGAGCTGGGAACACCTGTGGCAGGAGATAGTGATCAAAGAGGGAGAATATGGAGTTTACCAAACCAAAAGTGTCGAGGGACAAGAGGTGGGCGCTGGCAGAAGCCTACATGCTTACCAGTCCATACGCATCGTGGACATAGGTGTCATATCCAGTCTCCTCCAGGAAAGCTGATGTCTTGGCTTCCTCGGGAACCAGGCAGAGGAAACTGAGAGACACGAGCCTAGGTGTTGGGGTGCTCCACCTGGGTTCGCCCTGCTTTCCCCAAGCCTGGGTCTGTGGGATCTCCAGCCCTGAGAGAACACTCCTGCTTGTGTGGTTCCTGAGGGAGCACTCCTGCTCTGGCTGGGCCCCATTAGGGTTATGGCCAAAGACAGAACAAAACCCCGAGTGGCTCAGATTTCCCACCCTATTCCCCACCTGTTGACGATCTCAGTCACTGCTGTTTTGCCATCTAAGTTGGTGGGAGGAACTGGGGGAGGCTTTGAGGAGGGCTGAAAGCCAGAATCGAGGAAGCCATCAGTGAAGTAGGGGTCTTCCTCCAGATCCCTGTGGCCAAGGCAGACAAGGCAGGCACCCATGGAAGAATGAGTGTGGCTGTGCAGAGGGCTGAGGTGGGTCCTGAACAGCCCAAGGCCTCCCAGAGGTGCCTGTTTTCACTTACAGGGTGTCCTCATAGTTCTCAGGCTCAGGCAAGCCCCGGGCCACATAGGGGCGGCCCTCGAGGTTGCGCAGGATCAGGCTATGGATGATCCATTCATGCGGCTTCTGGAGCAGCTCCTCAAACAGCCGCAGTGAGACGATGCTGATCTGCAGCAAGAAAGGGGTCAGCAGAACGGCCCCTTCCCCACTCAGAGGAAACCGAGGCACCCAACACCACCCCAGCTTCAAGGAGTGCCTTAGAGTTGCTCAGATAAGAAAAGGCCAAGGACCAAGGCAGCAGGTTTTTGAGGGAGTGGATGGGTACTGGCCTAGGAACCAGGAAGTTTGAGTGGTCCCTGTCCCGTTACTGATTTGATATGTGATATTGGGCAAGCTAGTTGGGTTTTCTGCGCCTCAGTTTTCATGTGTGTAAAATGGGAATATCGGCCTCACCTACCTCATAGAGTGAACATAAATGCGGTTTGCAAAGTATAAAGTGCCATAAAAAGTATGCTATCACGGAACATTGCTGTGTGAGATGATTGACAGTTTGCTGTCAATCATGGCTTTACTGTTTTGAGGGGTTCAGTGCCTCAATGATAGAGAAAATTACCTGGGAAAGCTACTGAAAATGGGAAGAAGTGATCAGGAAACCCCTCTGACAGGGTTGAGGGGCAGGATCTGCAAGGAAAGGAGCAAGTGGAGCTGAGGGTCCCACCCGCCCTACCTCATCAGAGAGGTGGTCGCAGTGCCCAATGAGATGGGCACACAGGGTGTGGGGGCTGTCCTCAGGGGCCTCAGGCTGCCGCTCTGTGCCCAGGAGAAAAGTCACAGCCTCGCGCAGCAGAGCAGGGGAGCGAAGCTGGCGCAGTAGGGCCGTCAGCAGGGCGGTGGAGGTCAGGATGCTCTGCTCACACCTATATCGAGAGCACACCTGAGCCGGGCATCAGTGCTCAGAGCCACATCGGTGAGCAGAGAAGAGCAGGGAGTGAATGGGCATAGGGGGTGGTAAAACCCTCTTCCCCGGTTTCCTTACATCTTGGCTAACATCTCTGCTTATTTCCCACCCCTAGTGAGGTCCTCAAGTCCGAGAGTGGGAGGCCTTTGTTTAGCCCATGTGGCTCAGAGCTATGTGCCTGTAGGGGGGGCAGCCTGGCAAACATTAACCAATGGAGTTCATAGATGTGACTCTGGCCAAGGAGGTTCCTGGCATTAGGGACAGGAAGCGGCTTGGAGGGGTGGGCAGTTTGATCCAGACCATGGCCATGTCCAAGGGAAATGGACCTATACTTACACGTGCAAGAGCTGGGGCTGCAGAGTCTCCACAAATAACTTCTCAGCCACCGCCTTTGCCAAGGCATCTGCAACAACCTGGGCAACAAAGAGCATGTCTTAAACATGTTTTACAGTCATTGACCATTACCCGCGGAGAAATAACTATGTCCTTGCACGGCACCTAACACAATGGGCAAAAAATCTCCGAGGGTGCAAATAGTTAAGCACTCGACTATCAGCCAAAAGACTGGTGGTTCGAACCCACCCAGAGGTGCCTCAGAAAACAGGCTTGGCAATCTGCTTCTGAAAGGTTACAGTCATGAAAACCCTATGGAGCATTTCTACTCTATACACATGGAGTCACCATGATTCGGAACTGATGTGATGACAACTAACAACACCACAGGGCCATGCTAGGCTCCTGCCAGATCCCAGGTTTATAGGTACCTGCTCTACTCAGTCCCTGAGATGGAGACAATGAAGGGAGGAGCATGAAGCTGGGGAGGGCACCTACTGCATCGAAACCCCCATCTGTGCCGCCCTTCCTTACTGTGTGTGCCTCCATGATGAGGTGGTCGCAGTAATCAAACCAGCCCAAGAAGGCAGCCAAGGCCTCCTTTCCAGGGAAGGAAGCCTCATCAGATGGGGCACTGGGTAACCTGAAGAGAGAGGACGGAGCAAAGTCTGGAGAGGGAAGGAAGAACTGCTAGGTCTTCCTCAAATCTGTTATGGGAGCTGGGCCCTTTCCCCTGTCCCTTCCAACCTCTGCTGCTGGGGGCCAGTTTGATTGGGGGTTTTGTGGTCAAGACAGCAAAAGTGATGCCTCCCTTGAGGGTGAGAAGGCCCTTGGGGATCAGCCATAACCTTGGGAAGATGGTGGCCAGCAGAGGTCCCCATCTCACTTGGAATACAAGAGGAGCCATCTACCAGAAAGACAGGCAAGGCTTTTAGCCACTGACGATGTCTGCCAGCATTCCCTGGCCAAGGACCTACCTCCAGCTGATGCCCTCTAAGGCAGCAATGTCTGCGGGGTCAAGGAAGGCAGGCATGGACTGGTACAGCTGGCAAAGGTGCTCGGTGATTGCAAGGCAACAGGGGCTGCTCTGTACCAGGTAGGTGGCAGCTGCCTGGGAAGCCACACTGACCAGGAGCAGCAGGTTCTCCTGGGCCTTCAGGGCCACCCGGCTTTTCTAAGGGATGGGAATATGACTTCAGGGGCATGCATCTGAACCCCAAACCACCTCCCAATAATTCACCCTACCCCTTCCCAATCCTCCGCCCACTCCACCTCTACAGCAAGCACCTTGCTCTTGCACAGCCCAATGAGGGATGTAATCAGGTTGCTCTCTCCAATCCCACCATCTGGGTCCTTGGTCTCAGCAGGCAGCTGGGTGTTTGAGGCCTGGGCCCCACCGGGCTCCCCATCAAGTTTGGGCTCCCTGTCAGGAGGCTCCTTGTGGCTGGCTGCCTCTTTAGGCAGGGTGGTGGATTCTCTGGATGTCTTCTTCTTACCTATAATCTTTTTACCCTGTAAAGAAGGTCAGATGAGGCCAGGCTATGGTAGAAACCATTCCTCATGATCTCCCCTTGAGAATGCAGGACGTGCTGGAGGTCAGGGCCTCAGCATGAGTGGGAGAGGAAGCTACCTGAATACCTCCCTGGGTTCCTGCTCTCTCCTTCTGTTTCCTCAGAAGGGGCAAGGGGGCTTGCCCCTGGGATTCTGAACCCTCCCACTCCTGTTCCCCAAAGAAGTGCTTACTTCCAGGATGTAGGTAAGCAGGGCTGGATCCTGCTGGATCTTGGAGCAGAGGACGGTGGTGAACTGCACCTCCTCCTTTTCTGTGAGGGATCCAGGGACTGTCCCACCAAGTCGGAGAAGTTTCTAGAAGGGGAGCAGGGTAGAAACAGAAAGGAATGGGGTGACAGGGAAGAGAGGTGGCCATTTGCCTCCAAGCCCTCACCCCCAGGCACCCCTTGGCTTCTCGGCCCCTCACCTGCACAGGCCTGTGGACGTTGAGGTAATGCAGGAGGGGGTGTTGCACCTGGGCCAGAACTTTGCTGAAGAACTGGAACACCTGTTGCCGCATGCCTGGGGGGTACTGAGGGTCAGGGAACACAGCGTCTTGTCAGAAGACGGAAGCTGTGTCCGTAGGGCTTGCTGTTCCCCTGCCTGGAATGTTGCTCTTCCCCCAGACAGCCACCTGGCCCATTTCCTGCCTTCAGGTCACTGCTCCAAGGGCACCTTTTGCACAAGACTTTCTTCCCTCACCACGTTATTTGAAATTGACCTCCCTGCACTTCCTCTCCCCCTCCACTGCTTTATTTCCCCCTCCCCCCATAACTCTGTCATTATTGAACATCTCTATGTGAGTTCATTAGATTCTTCTGCCTCTCCCCCACTGGAATGTAAGCTCTGTGGGAGAAGGAATTTCTGTCCGTTTCAATGACTGCTGTATCTCCAGCATCTAGAACAGCACCTGGCACACAGCTGGTGCTCAGTACATCTCTGTTGAATGCATGCTGACAGTGAGAAGATGCCCAAGGAAATAAACAAGGCCCAGAGCCCCTGGGGCTGGTGGGATGTACCAGTCCCCTGTTCCGCCATCCACCATCAGGTCAGGGCTGGGAGGAGCACAGGGAGAAGACACTAGAATCCAGGGGTTTTCACTCCAGGCTGCTGCCAGCAGTGCCCTGTTGCCTCCTGAAGCCCTGTCCCTGGCAGAAGGTCGCGGAGGTGCTCGGAGGCACTCCGGGGTCTGGGTGCAGGCCCTGCCCACCTCGGCCTTGCCCAGCGTGCAGAGGGTCTCAAGGATCTTGTGCTGCAGCAGGTACTCCAGGCAAGGCCCGGCCTCGCCAGCAGCCCCCTGCTGCTTTTCCTCGTACACCAGGATGTCCAGCATCTGCTTCAGCCGCCAGGGAATGTCTGTTTTCTTGGCTGGGGTGTTTTCATCTAAACCAAGGTTAGGAAACAAGGATGAGTGGGGTGAAGAGGGACCCTCCTCCTGAAAAGATCCACACTGCTGCTAAAGCAGAGAAGTGAGCTATCTGAGAGATGGAGTCAAGCCCTGGGGCCCAGAGGGCTGAGGGCAACCAGGAGCAGACCTATATACTGAGGAAACCAAGTTTGCTTCAAACAAAGACCAGAGGAAGTGGAAGTTTATGGTTAAGGCCTCTGCATTTAAAAAGACAAGAGACCTTTTGGATGCGGCCAGGATACAGCCCTCAGACTGACAAAGTGTGCATGCCCCTAGCACTTTATCAGAAGGATGTGGTAGCATCATTCTCCAAATCCTGGGACAGGACATGCTGTGATCCTACAGAAGGACATATTGCTAGGGCTGCCTGTCAGCTTTGGGCCTGAGTAAGAAGCCATGGACTCAGGGTCTCTGTCATCTAATTTAGAAGCTATATTCTAGCACTTCCTGAGAGATAACCTCCTGGGTTTATGTCCCTTTGACACTCAGGGAAGCTAATACTCTGGTTTTTACAAAGCAGAAAAAGAATGTGTGCACTGCCATTCATTTGGCCTTGAACTTGCTCCATTGTGCCAAGGCCCTGATGGCAGGAGCTAGTTAGTGAGTTAGTGGGGCTGTTTTTAGTCACCCAGACCAGGAGTCTCAGGATAGTGTTTAAAAAAAAAAAAAAAAGTCTTGGTACTTTGGTATTGGCCTTGGAGCACCCCCTAGCTTCTCTTTAAGGCATAGGATCTTAAGCAAGGCAGCCCACCTCACCGACTCCCGACTCCTCTGATCCTAGGGACCATTCTGGAAGGTAGAGGACTGGATCCAGGTGAAGCCCCAGGTAGAGTCTGAGTCGGTTCTGGGTTTCTCCCTACTCTCCTGGTAGACTGGGGCTCTGTAAAGTTCTCTTCTTCAGACTTCAGTCTATGCAGTGCTTCTTAACTGGGGGCGATTTTTCCCCTCAGGAAACATCTGGCAATGTCTGGAGACATTTATGGTTGTCACAACTGAGGGTGGTACTACTGACAGCTAGGGTAGAGTTGCTGCTAAACATCCTACAGTGCACAGGACAGTCCCCACAATAAAGAGAGATCCAACCCAAAATGTCGGTAGTGCCGAGGTTGAGAACCCCTGGTCTATGGGAACTCTTGAGGGTTCCTCACAGTGTCCAAAGACCGCTTTTTAAATTTCTTGGGCTGGCTCAGGCTGCAAATAAAGCCTTTAGAAAAGGTGTAGGCTGGAACCAAACTTCTGTCTGACCTCCAGGTGGTGGAAAGCTAGGGACACAGGATGAGGTTACTTGGCAACCAGTCTGTATCCACCAATACCAGCATATTGACTACAAAGCAGCCAATCAGATTCTACCCGCTCAGTGTGCCATCCTGAAGGGCCCAGCGGACCTAGGACTTTGGCTCTCTGGGGTGTCAGCCTGGGAAGACTGACCTGGGCATGTTATGTGCCTTGGTTTTTATTTTCCTCCTGCCCTGAATCTTGACTTGGGAAATGTCCTCTAAGTTGGCTAAGGGGAGAGGAGAACTGGATACCTTTCTTTTCTCTTAATCAGTAAACCCTGGCACAGGCACCTGGGGACTGAAGGCGTGGACCCTCTACCCAGTGGGAGCTGGGGGCAAGTGCAGAGCCATCCCAGTGCAACCCCCAGCCTTCTGGTCCCCACACCCACCTCTCATAGCTCCTCTTCCAGAAGGTGAGGGTGGGGCCAGGTGGACGGGCGGAAACAGAGGTAGCCAAGGCTCTAGGTCTGCCTGATTCCTGTCTCCTTCCTTGTCTCCATGAGCTCAGCCCCAACTCTGAACTCCTGGGCAATGGCGTCTCTGAGCTGGGTGGTGATACTCTGCATACACCTTCCCCCCAATCCCTTCAGGGCCCCTGGCAGGGGAGCCTCAGGCCCTACCTGTGCTTTCGATGTAGTAGTGAGTGATGCCCTTCCAGTGCTCCACAAAGGCCTCCAGCAGGTCAATGCTGGGCTCCCACTGCAGAGAGAGCAGAGACAACACATGTGGCGGCCACAATGATGCAGACCCACTGCCCTGGCACTCAGCATTCACTCACAGACACCCCAGGCTTGGCGCTAGGCCCTGGAGGAGGCACTCTGCTCCAGGGTGTTCAAAGGGCAGAGTAACACATTTTCTCCAGGACACATACAAATTGTCTCTGTATCTTGCCCACAGTCTCCTGCCCTCTCTCCTCCTGGAAATGCTGTATTCCTGCTGCATGCCAGGATTCAACAGTCTCTGTACTGGTGGTGGCTGTTAGCTGCCGTCAAGTCAGCTCCCAACTCATGGCGACCCCATGCACAATGGAATAAAACACTGCCAGTCCAGCACCATCCCCATGATTGATTGTGGATCAAACCATTGTGATTCATAGGGTTTTCGCTGGCTGATTTTCCAGAGTAGATCACCAGGCCTTTCTTTCTATTCTGTCTTAGTATGGAAGCTCTGCTAAAACCTGTTCACCATTATAGCAAATGCAAGCCTTCAATGACAGACAGGTGGTGGCTACACATGAGGTGTACTGGCCGGGAACTGAACCCGGGGCCTCCCACATGGAAGGTGAGAATTCTACCATTGAACCACCACTGCCTCCCCTGCCCTGGAGGAGCTAAGAATTTCAGTGGGGGAAGCAGACACAGAAACAGATAATTTCAATACAACATGCTTATGCTACCACAGAGGGTGTTGTTAGTTGCCATTGAATTGATTCTGACTCATGGTGACTCCATGTGTGCAGAGAACTCCTCCGTAAGGCTTTCAAGGCTGTGACCTTTCAGAAGCAGATGGCCAGGCCTGTCTTTAGAGGTGCCTCTGGGTGGGTTCAAACCGCCAACCTTTCGGTTAGCAGCTGTGCTGCTTAACCATTTGCACCACCCAGGGACTCCACAATAGAAATACATACAGAAAAACAGAAGAGCACCCAGAAAACCAAAGCATACAGAGAAAAAGCATGGTAAAAGCAAAGCTTTCAGGTCCTCCTCAGTTTGACAGTCTGAAAATCTGTGTTCAAGGCCATGACAAGCTTGGCTCAGCTAGATAGACAGTGTTAGCATAATATTAAGAAAGTGCCTTACTTATATTGTGCTTTTACCTCTTGTCCAGGACTCAGGCTGTGAACCCCTACTCCTCCTTAGGCTAGCTCTGGTCCTTCCTATCCACTCCTCCACTGGCTCTTGCCACGGGCCCTGTAAAATTCTCATTCTGCTCTGGCAACCCCCTAAGCCTCTTTCTTTTCCAAAAGTGCTCCTTCCACCTCCATACTCTGGTTGGAACTGGCCGTGAGTTGATAACAACCACTTTTCCTGAAAAATTCTCCAAAAAAGGGCATTTCTTCTGTTTCCTTGCAGAGTAAACGTCTGCAGGGAAAAAAACGCATCACCAGATATTGCCTGTCCACATATGCTCATTTCTACCTCTGTGTATTTGCTCCTCGGGCCACTCCTCTGTCCAAGAGGCCCTTTATTCCTCTCTGCTTGTCTTGATCGTAACAGTCCCCAGTGAGGTCCACCTAAGGGCCACCAGCTCCATAAAGCCCTCTCCAGGGTTCTGGCCCACACATATCTCTTTCTATCCTCATGCTTTACTGCACAACAGAACTGAATACTTAATCCTTAATTAACTCATTCAGGAAATATCTTTTGAGTGCCTACTATGTGCAAGACACTGCTAGATGCCACAAGCAATACAAGGATGACTAAGACCTAGTGCTCAAGAAACGTACCATGGACGAGAAGAGCATATAAAATTGTACTGAATAACCAAACTACAAGGTAGTATTGTGATGCCACAGGGGAACTGCAAAAGTGACCTCTTGGGGAATGCGGGGTCACTCCTAACAAGCTGGAACAGGAAGGTTCTACTGAGGAGGTGATGCCTGAACTGAACCTTGAAGAAGTGAGTCAGATTTCAACAATTAGAAATGAAGGAAAGACACTTCCCGCTGAAAGAACTCTGCAAAGTGTGTTTGGGGAAAGGTTGGATTGAGAAGTGAGCGAATGGGGCCTTGAATGCCAGGCTAAGAGGTCTGGATTTTTTTTTTTTGCAGGCAGGTCAATGACATCTGAGCAGTGTTTTAGGAAGATTCATCTGGCAGTCGCGTGTAGGAGAGAACACAAAGGCAGGAAAAGTGCTTAGAAGGCTATTACAAGGTGAGAGGAGGCGATAACACTGAATCAGAGACCTTGAAACACTCTCCTCTCTTGGCTGCCCAGGCAATCTGGTCTTCTTTTAAAGTAAGCTTGCAGGGGCTGTGACCCTTCTGGAGTAGCACCTCCCAGTCATCCCACACATACACGTCCACATGGAGTGGCTGCATCTCATCACATTCTATGTGATGGTATAGTTGCCGGATAAGCACTCACCTCTTCTACTAGACTGTAAGCTCCCTGAGGGCAGGGCTTCTGTGCCTTTTACCTCTGCCTGCCCGTAAAGCACTCCACACATAGTTAATACTCATTAATTTTTACCCAGTGTCTCAACAAACTCCTTAAGACATTCTTTCCACATATCCTTGTCTTTTGGAAAGTCTTCTGACCCTTGGCCAGCACTATAGTTATCTTACAATTTCTGTGATGGTGTCTCATCTAGCTTCAAAATTCGTTTATGGTCTCCTAAAGCCTTCAGCTGAAGCCCTGGTGGTAGAGTGGTTAACAGCTTGGCTGCTAACCAAAAGGTCATTGGTTCGAATCCACCAGGGGCTCCTTGGAAACCCTATGGGGCAGCTCTACTCTGCCTATAAGGTCGCTATGAGTCAGAATCAATTGCATGGCAATGGGTTTGGTTTATTTTTAAAACCTTCAGCTGGGCTTAAAGAGAATAATCCAGTAAAAATGGGAGAAACAACAGAACAGTGGTTAGCCAACACAGCCTGTTAGAGAGAAGAAAGAAGGGGGATATTTACCTCAATCTCTGTCCTACAGAGTCGCTGTGAGTCGGAATTGACTCGACAGCAAGGGGTCTGGTTTTGGTATTACTCAGTACTATAGCTGTAGACCAAATAAATTGTATTTCTTTAAAGATAGTATTATTATTTTTAGGTATATGATCTTTTAAATGATAATATTATTTTAAAAAGAGCCATAATTATTGCTATTGTATTTGGTTAAAAGAGTGCAGGAAGGAACACTCGCCCTCCTTGACGAGGAGTCAATTGACTTGTGAGGGTCATACACTAACCTGGTGCCCGAACCCAAGGAGAGACCTAGCCCTGAGATGTGGGGGATGGAGAGGGAAGGAGTGGTTGTCATCTCTCCCAGTGATCACGAAGGGCCAGCCAAACTTCTAAGCATCATTTACAGCTGTATACCAAGGGCTTAAAAAATCTCTCTCTAGACTACGGCCACTGATGCCTGAAATTCCTGCACTGGGGGCATTACAAATTGACTTCTCAGGGTTAAGATACTGTCTTTCCTGTCTAGCTTCCCCCCTTGTACATCGTGCTTTCCCTAGGTGGGATGCCCTTCTCAGGGTTAAGATACTGTCTTTCCTGTCTAGCTTCCCCCCTTGTACATCGTGCTTTCCCTAGGTGGGATGCCCTTCTCAGGGTTAAGATACTGTCTTTCCTGTCTAGCTTCCCCCCTTGTATATGGAGCTTTCCCTAGGTGGGATGCCCTCAAGGCCCTGGACGTCCGGGAAGAAGAGGGCTGCAGGAAGGCTGAAGAAAGGTAAAAGGAGCAGAAGTTTTTCTTTACAATTTTGCCTAAGGCTGAGTGTTATTCATAAGGAGCTCTGATTTTGGTGTGGAGGGGGAAGTGGAAGTGGGACTCAGGGTTGTTTCTCAGTGGAAAATGATACATTAAGCTGATCAATTAGGGGGAGAATTATTTTATACTATGAAACAAAAGGACTGTTGACTTTACAGACAGCTTCTTGGCAGGGTTACCTTAAACAGAAAGCAAGCCCCCACCCTATAAACGGCTTTGATTTACAGGCAGCCTTTGTGCCTAAAGCAGCACTTTGATCGTGCTGAAAATGAAGTGATGGGCAGTCTCTGACCAGTCTTTAGCCCCAATAGGAAATGGCAAAAAACACAAGCTCTGATGGAAAGTGGAAAATCAGTATAAACGTCCACACATGGCCGCCCCAGGCCCCACCATGGGCTGATTCTCCCGGACTCAAAGTCAATCTGGCTTGTACAGTGAGAGAGAATATCCTGGAAAATGCGTTTTTACACTGCAGTATGCTGTTTCCTGAGCTAGACGCCCACCCACCCCTATTTAGAGGACTGAATCCTGGGAACCTGGTCCCTCAGGCCCAGGCACTTCCCAAGTTGGGGGGTGAGAGGGCGGGTGGAGAAAGGGTCAGGGTCAGAGCGTTCCATCGGAGTAAGGGCCTGGAGTTGTCTGAGAACTCAGACGAGTGAGCGGAAAGGGCTTCTTTACTGAAGCCCAGGGGACCAAGAGGGTTGGAGAGAAGGGAAGGGGGAAGGAGAAAAAGGGGGGGGGGGCTGCTGGAAAGAGACTATTTGGTGACAAGCGTGCGCTGGGGAAGAGAGGAGTTTGGGAGTTGGGAGAACCTCTGGGGAACAGGAAATGATGTGGGGCGAAAGCTTAGGGAACGAGGAGCGACCTGGAGACGATCTGAGAATAAAGTGCGATTGGAAAGAAGCAGTTGGAAGGGAGTAGTGAGCGATCTGCGGCAGGGGCACGACAGAGCGAGGGTGAGGGGAGAGGAAGACCGGCCAGGGGCGATGCGGCCTGGGTGAGGGTCCTTTTCCCGAGGCGGCCCTGCGCCCTCCCTCGCGCCCGCCGGTTCCTCGCCCGCCCTTCCGGCCTAGGCCCC